GCTTATACTATCTGATAGAAGACACTTTTCACTTTGTATTTATGTTTTCGAAGTTGTATTTTTATCTTTTGTTTAAGAAATATTGTTTGCTTGTTATAAATTTACATTTATCTGCCTTGTATCTACAAATATATATATAAATAAATATTTTGTATTAATATGAAATTTAAGTTTTTTTTAGTTATTTCCAAAAATGACTTCATAAAAACAATAATAGTAATTAAAAAGCTTGTAATCGGTATTTGTAAACAAATTTGCAAAATTTATTTTAGCAAAAAGGTGAAAGGAACAAGTAAAAAATATAGAACAAAGTTTGAAATTTTCTGCTCGAAGGATGAATTGTGAAATTTGGCTAATTATCAGTAGTTTATCAGTGGCCACTAATCTCGAGTTTGCTCGTTTCACTAACCTGCCTGTAGATGCACGTGGGGGCCGAATCTGACTTCCACTTGCTGAAGAAAGATGCCGACAGCACCATGCACGCCGTGCGACAAAATTTGTACTAGTAAACCCACAAGAAGAATTACCCAGCCCCAGCCACCCTCCGGGTAGTAATGTTGCTTCAGTGTGAGCAATTGTCTGAGATCCGCAACCAACTGACGAGGTGCCGCGTGCGTCTGCTCCGGTACCGCTGGTGCATGATCGCTGCAAGCAACTCCACTGTCATGAATCGACAACCGCGGTAACGATCGACTGCGACGAAGTGCTACGGTAGCGATCGGTGACATCAGTTTTGTCGAATCGGACTGATTAACGACGATCTTGGCCGCGTCTTGATTCGCCTTTTCACGATTCAAATACTCCGAATACTTCCACAAACGAGAGTACCGACCATAAGAGAAGTGTGATTTCCCGCAGTTTTCGCATTTTCTTGCGTTGCTACTTTTTTTATCTTCGGCGCAGAGGATGTCGATATCCGTTTTTCGATTCCTCGACTCTCCTCGATCGTCAATAGCATTCCTCACGGATGCGGATCGTTGCGGTTTTCCGGGGGTGCTACTGTCTTTGACGGAGGAGTGAACGACCTTACGAGACGTTTCACCTCGAGGATGTTCTTGAAATGCGTTTGTGCTCGACGTGGCGGCGGATACAATGACATTATCCCCGTGAGGATACACGCGACTCCGCGGCGAACTGATTTCCATCCCGTCTTCGTCACCGTCATTTTTACGGCTCTCGATATCCCTGGTGTGCTTGCATTTGCTCGATCCGATCGTTTTATCGACATCCTGGGAATAGTATATTGATTCGGATGAGTTGTTTATGCAGTTGTTCGTCGATGCAGTTACGATTTTTATTTCACGAACTGTACACACTTGTCTTTCGTTATATTCATTATCGAAGATAGTTTGATTACCTTTATTGAATATTTGTTGAGTTCTTTTGATTTCATGATTTAGCGAGTTCGTGCATTTAACTTCAAGTTTACCTCTCGAATCGTTATTTTTCTTGCATGTAACTAACTTATGGTCATTGATGGTATTACTAATATCGTTATTCATTTTATCGCAATTTGTATCTTCGTTAACGTCTAATCTGTTGGCAACATAAATTTTATTTTCGGAAATAGATTTTTCTTCTTGATCTGATTGTTCTTCATTATCTTGTATGTAATAATTTCCAGTAACGCCATTGCCATTATTGGATTGTTTTGCTGGATGATCGTAAAATTTTGATCGACTGAGAGGCTCTTTGACATATTTGGCGCAATGATTATAGTCAGTCCAAGATTTGACTACGCGAGCTTCGCTCGATGATCTCGATAATACCGCAGTTGTCGCAGATGTTAGTTGATATTCTCCAACTTCAGAATCTACGCGAGAGGCTGCCATTATCTGGATTTCCTTTTCTCTGACTTCATGGTGTCATACAGCTTCTTGTCTTCGTTATCGTCTTCATCATTTTCTTCGCCGTCCTCGTCGTCGTTCGCGCTTCCCTTCTTCCATCTCTTTCATCTTTTCCATCGTCAGAGATCGGAGACTCGAAAAATGTTTGTCCCGATGTTGGAATTTTGCGGTCAAAATAATAAATTGAACTGCGATAAACTTCTTGATACATCGTTCTTAACATATAAATGAATAATTCGAATTCTTTATCAATTTATTTTATAATATTATTGTTATTTGGCACAAACATAATTTAGTTTGATAAATAATAGATAAAAAATAAATTTATCAATTTATATATATATTAAAAAAATATTCATATATTTACTTTTAAAAAATAATTATTTTTCCATATATGATTTGGAATCCGTTAATTTTTTTCTAGTGTCAAAGTCTACAATAATATACAAAGCTGAGTACGAGAATTGATTGAGTTTTAAAGTAATTTTTTTGTTAACAAGAAAATTTAAAACTAATGCTATGTGTATAGATTGTGAGTTCTAGCAACCGAAAATGATAATTAAGTTTTCACAAGTACATAGTTGTAAAATACATTACATTTCATTACATTTCAGTTCTCAAACTTCGCAGTGGTTATCATTGAGAAATTCCATAGAACTTTGGAGGATAGTTTCTGAGAATAAAATAAACTTTTGAGACGAGGGATGCGTTAAAATTGCTATAACGAACCCCGATTGTGTCGATTGCAAAACTTTTGTAAGTTATCTCTCGTAACCAATCTCGAAGGAAAATATCTCAGAATGCGTTCTCATAACGATTAAGTAGAACCGAACGAGTCCTCTCTCGGAATATGGTGGTGAGATATTATATAACACAACGACCGGACGCGACACGCTCAGCGCGCGAACTGAGCGTTCAACAACTCGGTGTCGTCTCTTCTGCGGCTGCGGCTGTTGTGGCTGTGGCGGCGCGTCTCTCCGCTTCAGGATTGGAGCCGTCGCTGTCCGCGGTTGTCGTTCCTTCTTTCTCCATCTCTGCTCTCGTGTGTTCCATATCGGATTCTGTTCCATACTATTTCACTTTCTCCCCACCGCATGATGCTACGCGTAGATCAGCAACCATAGATATGTCCTACCAATGGTTGTTTCTAGTTCTTACAAACGCAAATAGTCTCCTCTTTGTAACTTTTCTCACAATGGCGAATTGGTATGTTTTTGTCTTTCTCTTATCTTTTTCGATTTGCCTTTTACGTTGATTGATTCCACCATCGTTGATTAAGAATGTAGATGCTCTTATTTGCTTCTTATATTGATCAATGTAACTATTATGCACTGGACTTGCTGGAATCTTGAATATTTGTCTTGGATCATAATAAATCATGTAAAACTCTGTATATATCTGTGCGTGTTTCTATGATATTGATTAATATCGCGAAAGCAATTCACTTATGAAATGTCTTTCCTCCTTTTCTTTGAGAACAAGCAACTATAAATTCAACTTTTTAATGTATATTTGCTTATACAATAAGATTTTATTGATAGATTTTTTATGATATCGATTGTATCGTAGCATGAAGATTATGAATGCAATTTTATCTTTTTTATTAAATTTTTCCAAATATGTATTAATAAAAGAAATAAAACGAGATTTTTTTATGCATTATTGTTTTCTTGCTTAAATAGATATACAGTGTTCACATTACACGTAATTTTAGTATTTTTATAGGTCGCTACTGACGATGGAGTTAGACATGGATAATTTAACCGACAATGGAGTTAAACAATTTAATCCAAGACACTGTATTAAATTTAACTCAAATTTAGTTTATTATTTACTAACAATAAATACATATATTAATGGACACTGTTTACTTTGAAACTAACCACATAAATGGATTAATATACATTTTGGCACACATAGAAGTTAGAAATAACAAAATGTTAACTCAAGGAATTGGATTATTATTATTCTTTTGGACATCTAACAGTAGTGTATTAATGTTTAAATACACATGTTTGCTTTATAATAATTTAATATGGATTTAATCACACTTGATAACAAGATTATTAATAGATTTGTGTTTATTCTTTGAAACAAGAATTTAACATTGTTTTAACGCAATGACCTAGACTAAACTAATAATGCACAACCTGTTTAAGGGTCATTTTCAGAGAGCCATTTTCAGAAATAGGTAAAATCTTTCGGATCGTATAGAGCTTATTTCGTTTATATAAAGTAGAAAATGTATATTTTTAGCGGGCCGTAAAAAATTTGCAGCTATATGGACCACATGCGACCGGCGCGGCGGACTGCAATTACTGACCTACACTATTACATATCAAAAGAAGCAATGATAACCTAATTCTTTGAGTTGTGTTATTTTTAACTTCTATGTATGTCAAAATGAATATTAATCCATTTCTGTGGTAAGTTTCAAGTAAACAACGTCCATATTGACGTATGCACTTAGTAAATAATGAACTAAATCTGAGTCAAAGAGTTAATACATTTTTTAGTTCAATTAAAGGAACAATGATGACCTATAAAAATAATTTAAAATTCAAATTCGATATAATTTTAAATTATAAATTTAATGATATAGACGATATACATTTATAATTTGACATTATAAATTTAACGAAGACAATGTTCATCGTCGATATAATATCTTTGCGTATTTGAAAAAAACTTGGGATAAACTTCGAGTTCATGAAACTTTAATTTCGACTTGAAATTCTTCGTTTGATAGCTAAATGATGAATGGGCGAATACTTTCGCCACTCCGTAATTCACTACGCGGAACAAATCGCGCAAAGGAACCACTTTGTCTTTCTTTGCTGCGGGTCGACGTTGGAGCGATTCGTGACCATTGTGCGCGGATAAATAATTAGCCGGTTAAATTATATTCGTCCCATATAAGCTGAACATACGAAAGGCAAAGCTGTGTATACAATGCATTATACATCTGCGTGCATAATTTACTTCTTTCTCCAATAGGTTCAAATTAAAATGATGTCGGCGCGAAGCTTCCTTGAACGAGCAAGGACAAACTTGCGGAAATACCTTATAATTAATCTTAATTTTTTCTGTTCTTTCTTCGGTTCATCTTTAATTATATAATCAGGCCTTCTTTCAACAATGTTTTAGGCAGCCATTTTATTATATGAAACATAAAAATCTAAATTGCCGTAATAATTTTAACCTTTTATCTTTTCGCGGATAATCCCTTCACGAATCTTGCTCTTTTGACGGTCTCTTTCCGGTAAATCCCTACCCGCTTCATTTCTCTCTTTTTTTATAGACATTATTCTCTCGTTGCCTGGAATATGAATTGAGGAAGCGCGGAGTTGCCATTGTAGTTGTATATCTATGGATTAAGTGGAAATTTTATCAGGCCAAGATCGAAATATTCACAGAAGGTAGATTATGGAAGCTTCATTTTATCTGCAAAAAAAGGCTTTAATGAGATTTTTTATCGTTATCCATTCGTTATTTCATTTAGTCATGAAAATATTGTACATAATTTGGGTACCATCTTTATCTTTTAATTTATAACATACATATAGATGCGCAACAGATGTATGAAATAAATTTCATATATTCTTAAAGTTCACAAAATTACATCTACATTAAAATGTATTCAAAACAAATTCAAATAATCTTTTATGCTTATAAGAATATCATTATATTCTTATATCTTTCTGCAGAGAGGCGTGACAATCATGAGATTCATTGTAAAACATGATCTACTTAAGATAAATTTATTCGTTATGAGAGTGATTTGCATTTTATTAGGGGTTAAGGGTTATACTGTTAAAGACTTTGGTCTGCTTTAACCAAATGTTCGTGTCATGCTTGTATTATTCGTTTGCCATTTAGGACGTCATCAACGCTTTTTCGGCGTGTCATATTTCAACTCGTTATTACATATCGATTTGGTATGGCTCCTTATAGAAGACACGAGCAGAGTTAGCAAAGTGTTCTTCAGACAAAGCAAACGTTGAACAGCTTACATGGTCAGAATGTCTGACAGAACGCAATTTAAGAGATGACACTTACGAATTGATGCATCCAAGTTGTGGTATAGATGGTATAGACTTTCACCATTAGTAATATAATTCTCTTCCTAAGATTCTTATTGTTAGTATTATCATTTAATCTATGCGTTTGCACATATATATGAGTTTGTATTTTATGTGAACTGAATTTGTGAATTTCTTGAATATAGAAATGTCTATCAATCTATTATATAATATGGTTGTTTAAAAAAAGTAATACAAAATTTATTAATATATATATATAATACATATATATATATTTACAATTATAAAATAAGTCATTATATACATATATATATGTGTGTGTATATAATAACTTATTTTATATAAAAATACAAATCTACAATTTTATTAAAACAGTTATATATATATGTATTGTTGAAAAATGTAATAACAGTATTAATAAAATTGTAGATTTGTATTTTTTATGTAACATTAAATTAATGTCATCTTTTTGATTGCATACCGTACAAAAAGAAAGATAAACAATGCTTTTCTTAAAAATATAGTTACATTATGCAAATGGAAATTTTAATATGACTGATGCGTCTATAAATTGTTTCTTCATGCTATTTTTTGATATGTGTTTTTGTTATTTGCCTCTTTCCTCCCCAAATTATTTTATACTTACTCATCGCGAGTCATCGTTGACACTTGCAAAGTTACGTGCAAGACATCTGTTTCTTGCCACGTTGCATGTTTCTTGTTCTTATGTTATGGAAGCGATATTACGTGGAATATTACGCATTTCTTACGTTATTAATGTGGAAAAAGTTATAAAGTTATGGAATTTACATTTTAATTACAGCTTTTGAATTATATGAAACGTATATAGGAAATATAATATATTTGGACGCTAATACGTATAAGTGATTATAAGTGATTTGAGACTACAAAATGATCGCTACAAAAACGTTATAAGATCCA